ACACACTGACTCTCACTGGGGTACAGGGTCCCACACACACTACCCTCACTGGGGTACAGGCTTCCACACACACTGACTCTCACTGGGGTACGAGGTCCCACACACACACACTGACTCTCACTGGGGTACGAGGTCCCACACGCACACACTGACTCTCACTGGGGTATGGGCACCCACACGCACACACTGACGCTCACTGGGGTACGGGGTCCCACACACACACACTGACTCTCACTGGGGTACGGGGTCCCACACACACTGACTCTCACTGGGGTATAAATTCTACACATATTAGTCCACTCCAGCCAACTGATACCTAGTGCCCTACCCTTGTGTTTGGTTTCTTAACTGTGACTAGTTTTTGTCAACCCTGCTTCCAGAGACATTTCAGGCACTGCATTAAATCACTACGTCACACTAAATACTCATTGCTCTTTTTATTATTCCCTTTTTATTCATCACCAATTAGTTCATTCTGGATTTGCCGGGTATTGATCCTCCGTTTCTCTGTGCTGTTTTGTGGAGAAGGTAGTTTGGATATGGAATGCTCTGCCTAATGGCAGTGCTACTGTTTCACAAGCAGCCTCCTTGGGTGAGGATAATTGTGTGGGCTTGGGGTAAGGGGGGGGAAGATCAGGATTTACTGGATTACTCTTCAAAAGAACCAGCACAGTGTGAAGGGACTGAATAGCCTTCTTTCATGCCATACTATTCCATAGTTCTGTGAAACTGCAATCCCTGGCTGATCCTATTGCTTCTCGATCACCTGGGGCACTGAGGCCAATTCTAATGCCCTAATACTGTCCGAGTTGAGAACAATTAATTCCACAATAACTTCCTCAGCTGCTGACTGTCTCATCTTGGTGTCATCAATGGAATTCCCACCTTGCAATGGTTAATAAATCAGGTCTTTCCCATCCCACTCCACATCAGAAAATCCAACCAGTTGCTATTTTCTGCCTGCAACTGCACAGGGTGCTCAGGGTAGCCAGTTACTTTCCAACCCCCTGGCAGGGTAAAACATCATTCTGTTGGCTGTGCAGCTCTCTGTACAATTGGTCAGAGTGTGTGGGAAAGATCAGTGACCTGCGCCTGCACAGCTCATGGCTGACTGCAGTCTGACACATCGACCAGGACAGAGGATGCAATTGTTCCCAGCAACAGGCACGCACTCGGTGAGCTCAGGCCCGGCATTATTGCACATTACTCACTCATATGCAGGATTGGCCCAAACTGTGCAGGTGGGTCAGCTTTGGAAAGATGCACATGCGCAACATACTGCACTTATTTCTAAACCATGCAGAAAAAAATTCCAAAAGATTAATTGTTCTTTTGACTATCACTGATAATTGAATATAAATCAAGGGAAAAGAGCAATTCAAAAGACTTCAACCTACGATCACACTGACACTCCCAGTGGAGAACTGAGGGAGGACTGTTGGAGGTAATGCAGAAGGATTGCCATGGGTTCAAGCAGCTCCATTGCAAGGAATTTTGCTGAACAATTAATGAAACTCCAGCTTCATACCACCTTTCAGCAGCTTCCCTCTCTCTGTTTTATGGATGAGACTGCACTCACTTCTCCTCAGAGCTTTCCTCCCACATTGCTTCTGAGCTTCAGCCACTCAACCTGACGAATTTACCTGACTCTCCGCATCCCGTGTTGAGAAACAAATGAGCTTGCCCTTATAAAGAACTTCTCACAACATCAGCGTGTCCTGAAATGCTTTACAGCAAATTAACACGTTTCAATGTTTAGTCTTTGCTGTAAGGTAGGAAACGTGGCAGCTAATCAGCATAGCAAG